AAAGAATGAGAAAATGAAAATGATCATTGGACATAGATAGTTGTTATTTATAGTTTGTGTAAACCATAAGAATAATTAAAAATAAGTTGAAGAGACATATTATTTAAGTAGGAAATGTAAATAGATGGAGGTTTTGTTATAACTTATTAGGTATATTTAGAATAATAAATATGAATGAATTTTTTAATTAATAAACAAATTATTTAATAAAGAGAAATGAAAAAAAAGGAGGAAAAAAAGAAATTGAATGATCCTCCTTTATATATATATATATATATATATTTTTTATTTTTTTATTTTTTACTAACAAGGTGTTTGATCAGAAATTCTAAATATAGAATTTTTTTTGTGAAATTTCTAAGTGTGTTTGACGTTATATATTTTGCAATTAATATACATAATTGAATGTATTTAAATAAGTTAGAGAAAAATAAAAGTAAAAGAAAATAACGATGGAATAAACTTTTCACTGAATCCACGTGGCAAACAAACATTTGCTACTATGGTAGTACTTGGATCGCTATTAAAGCAATCAGCTCTTCTCCAATCTCCACCGTTAAAATCAACGGCGCCAAAAGGATTTCAAACACTTCTCCAAAATTTCCAATTTCCCGCCCTCTATCTCTCAGTATAAATATCTCTATTACTCATTTTACATATCCATCATTAGAGAACTCTACTTTCTGTCTGTGTTTTTATCAATTTCAAATGGCCCGTACTAAGCAAACAGCTCGCAAATCCACAGGTGGAAAGGCACCAAGGAAGCAGCTAGCTACCAAGGCTGCAAGAAAGTCAGCTCCGGCAACGGGAGGAGTGAAGAAGCCTCACCGTTTCCGTCCAGGAACTGTGGCTTTGAGGGAAATCAGGAAGTATCAGAAGTCCACGGAGTTGTTGATTAGGAAGCTTCCATTTCAAAGATTGGTGAGGGAAATTGCTCAGGATTTCAAGACAGATCTGAGGTTTCAGAGTAGTGCTGTTGCTGCTCTACAAGAGGCTGCTGAGGCTTACCTTGTTGGTCTCTTTGAAGATACTAATCTTTGTGCAATTCATGCCAAGAGGGTTACAATTATGCCTAAGGATATTCAGCTTGCTAGGAGGATTCGTGGAGAAAGGGCTTAAGATCTTTTTATTTTTTTTTAGGGTTTAAAGCCATTTTTATTCAATAGTTTTGCTTAGATCTCTTGTTGGAAGTTGGAATGCTAGGCTGATTATTGTACATCTAGTAGATGTTTTCAGTTCTAGTATGTGTAAACTGGTGGTTTACTAGAATTTAGGAATCTGAGTAATGAAATTTGTACTTGTTTTGTTCTATCAAAGATCTTATTATTACATCTGTTTGTTATTTGCGATTTATTGAAGATTGAATCATAGCTTGTTGAATTTGTTGGTGTAGCTATGGTGCTGAAATTTGTTTTGCTTTTTGTTTATTGAGAAACTATCATTTGCTCTCAGCCCATCCGTAGTAGTTTTAATGCTGTGTTGACATCCTCTAGTCGCCTTAATACTCCAGTGACCACTTCTACTCGGATTTTCATCACATTTGGATAAAGCAATCTCTATAGAAGGTGCCCAAGGATCACTCTGCAAGATCTTGCAAACGGAATCCACTGTTTGCCTTACACCGTCCAATTTGTTTGAAAAGGCCTCACTCCACCCATGTGTGTTATCTACTCCATTCTGCACATTCTCTAATTGGCTCGAAAATTCCGGGTTTCTCTCTGGAATGAAGGTGCTGACAGGTCTATCAAAGTTGGAATATCCATTATTTGAAACTGAGAACCTCTTGCAATTAGCAAATACAGCGGTGCGTTTCAAGTCATACTGAGATCGCAATCCTAAAGCAGAACATAAAAAGAGTAAGCAACTAAGATACACCTGATTCAAAAAAGAGCTTAAGCAACTAAGATACAGTGCTGCAATGAGACTGCAAGGAATAAAATACTCCTGGCTGCCAGAAAGATAAGTACCTCTATTGGAACAGCATTTAGACCGATTGCCCACCCCTCACCCCCTTCCTTCACTATATAGGTTGTTTCTTCTTTTCCCAAGTTCTTTGAGTAAATTTGAACGGAAGTATCTTTAAAGCCTAATTAATAACCATTTTGTAGGTACTTAAACAGTAACAACAACAATAACAATTACACTCAATCCTTAACTAGTTGAGGTTGGCTATATAAATCACCAATAACCATTCTGCTCAATTGGACCTGCTTCATTCTAATATTCAGTAGTTCGTCTTTGCTAGGTTTTTCAGGATGGAAGTTTTAGAAAGATCAGCAGGACCACAGGAATAAGCGCTGCTCCTACTGCTATGTACTAAAAACTGCGTAAGATAGATCAATCCCAACTATTGCATCATGTAGGTGTTTGAAGTCTTGACCTACAGTAGAAAGGAAAAAATCATCTCAACCTGAAACAAAGAAACAAAATAGGAGACAGAATACTAGGTACCAGACAATAAATACAGCTGCAACACGCCCAGTGTAATTCCACTTAGTGGGGTCTAGGGATGCTAGGATGTTTACCGATAGATCCTCAGCTTCAAACAAATAGGCTGCAGAATATATTTTCTCAACATAATTATTCTACAACAGTCCTTCAGAAATATTTCAAAACAGACAACAACTGAAGTTCTAGCTTTGACACAAAAAAACCAAATTTTTATGTTCTTGCTTTCAAAGATATGAAACTTTCCTAGCTCAAATGGAGAATACAACTCAAAACAAGGAAACACAAGAACTGGGTGGCAACTAAATTTGAAATTATTTATTAAATAAGTTAAGGGTAATAAGACGTTAGTATAGTATAAATGTGGCTTTGGAATTTCGGGCATAGATTGAGGATAATACTATTGTCTTCCCATAGTTCATATAAAGAAATAGGCGCTTAGCACATAAATCCTGTTTGAGCCGTCGAGGTCACCAATAAGTTAAAACAATCATTAAACTTCAACAACACCAACAAACAGGGCCAACATGACGAATAATATAACTATTCAATCAAATACACTAATTATGTTTAGAATTCAGAACTATTTTTGCAGTAAAAAAAGGATAAAGAAATATATTCAGTTCTGCAAATTTGTTACAAAAAACATTGACAACTCAAAGGAAAGTTTACTGAGGAGAGTTTTAAAGCTACTATTTTATATATATGTCTGTTAAATCTAAAAACCAGCACTACATGGAGCTGCCTACAATCCAAAAAAAAGTATTTTGTGTATTGACTGAAACAATCGCGACTGATGTAGTTCAACATCACCCTTTATTCTCAGAGCATTGATCACTCAAATCTAGCTAAGCTTGTCAAAATCTAATTGTATAATCGAAGATCCAGAAGAAGTCTCATGTAGACATGTAGACATGAGGCTTTTGGAAACAACATGTTAATATTATAATGTCAACTACTGTAACGACAACAAGAACAACGACATCAACCAACTATTACGAAGTAACTTAAACTTTGACCAATGCAAAACATAAATTTTCATCCTTTCGGAATGCCCACAATTGCATCTTCATACCGCTTTTCAAACCGTTCCTTTTTCTCACATCATTCCAGTATTTTACTAAAACATAACTTGAACTTGTCTTTCCATTATTTTTGTTCATAGTCCATTTTCTCAGATTGATTTGACTTACTTGACGCGAAGGCTCAATCAACGACACATTCATCTCAGACATTTTAGCTCCATTGCGCGTATTCAAAAGTTGTTCTTCTCCAGTATTTAGAAACTTATTACTCATCTGGTTTTGTGGGATTGAAAGCCTTCCTTCTGCTGAATTAACATCCGTATCGAATAGTATTTTTTCAATAACCAATTTAGCTGATTCAACTGTACCCCCTATGAATGTAATCTGATTCTTGAATTCAATATTCAATTGAACAGCTTCAGTTCTATCATTAATTTTCCTCCTCTTTCTCACTCTGTTTTTTCCTTCATCATCAACCGTTATTATTCTCTCTTCTTTGGAATCATTTTCCATAGCTTTGTTGATCATCGGTTCACACGTAAACTTTCTTGGCTGCCTGTTTGGCTTTGATAGTTTCCTCTTTGGGACGAAGCAATCAAGAACTGGATGTTTTTGTTCACGAACTTGTTGGTATGATGATAAGATGGACTGTATATTCCGAACATTCCTTTCTTCTTTCTTATAACGAAATTCTTTATCTTGCTCCGCGATTAAGTTATCTTCTTCACTATATTTAGATTTCAAGCAAGAAACTTCAGATACAAAAAGAATATAATCAATAGGATGCATATTGCTTTTGAATGTTATACCCGAAAAATCGTCTAAACTCAGCTGCGTGAAAATCATATTGTGTGTTTGAGAGTGAGAAAGAAAGAAAATATTTATGTATAAATAATATAATTTTCCGATACCTCCGCCTCGAGTGGAAAATATTTTTAGTGTCCTACTAAAGAAAGAAAAGAGGACGAGAGTTTTATTTATACAATAATAACCCCAATAGAGTTTAGAATAAGGAAGAAACCAATTTGCTTTAGGATTATAGGAATCATTATATACTAACACTTTTAATTTCTTTAGTGTACAAATTTACCATAACTTGAACTCTTTTTAGAATAGGTGTCCTTATTATTTTTAATTAACATGTGATTTGAGTGTCTTTGTGATTGATTAAAGAAAAAAGAGGGCATGTGTTAATACATGTAATAAAAATCGTTCCAACTCGTCGTTTCCTTTTATATATATATGTAACCACATCAGTTTTAAGAATTTAAGTTTATTGAACGTGAGATATCTCTCTTTTAATGTCATCCAAATCCGAGACTTCCTTCTTAATTTGAGTAGTTCTGCAATGAGGGAAATCGTGTTTTGTGTAGGATTTTCAGATAGCACCATCTTCTTTAAAAAATTTGAAGGTTGGGTAAGGCCTCACTTAATAGAGGTCTAAATTTTAATCATTCAGATTCAGTTCATTAAGTATGTTTGGTTTTTAGGTCTGAATCAATTCATTAAATTTATTTGTTTATTTTTTAAAAAAAACTCAAGGTCTGAATCTAGATTCAGTTCATTTGTTTTATCATCATATATTATTATAAGAGAGGGAACCAAAAAAGTTAAAAGTTGAATTACCATTTAACTCTTATTATAAATTTAAATGTTATAAAGATATTTAACTATTTAATATAAATATTAAATCATAACATTTTCATCAAAATGTTAATGACTTTTGCACTTCTTTAGAATAATTCTTAATTAAAATATCTAATTTAATTTATTTTTTTGAAATTACTTAAAATATACTTTTTTTATTTAATATTTATTTCAAAATTCAATGAATTTTGATTATCAAAGTTGAATTATTTCTTTGCCTTTTACTTAGTAAAAATATTTAATAAATAAAAATACTTGATCTAATTAGTAGTACTACTTAATTGTTACACAATCTAATTAAATAGGAGTAAAATTTTAATTATCAAACAAATTACAACAGCCTATATTCACTGTCTTGGAATTGCTAGCTTTTTCATCTTCCTAAAATTGTTCTCTCTTCAATATTTTGATTTCGTTTCAACTTCCTGAAATTATGAAATAATAATGTGAAGTCCATGAATTCGTCAAGCCCTTAGTGTAGTTTATCTTTTACTATATAATTATATATGCACTTATCCCATTAAATTTAAATTTGTTACTTCTTTTAATTTTCATCCGTTAGAAAATTTTTCGTGTACTCTATTAAGTTTTATATAGACACACAACATTTTTAGAAAAAATATAGGATGCATTTCCAATTGATTTGCACAATAATTTAGATAAGTGTATTACTATTCAAATTATATCATACAATTGAAAGCTTGAGATTCTTATAGCAGATTGCAGATTTGAGGCAACAATGTCAAAGAACCATTACGAGATAGTTTACCTCTCAGATGATGTTGATTAATTAGTTAAAATTGTTGTGTCTTTATGTTGTTAATCTTTTGTTTATTTTTACACTTTAATATATTTAAGTGCATGTATTGCTAGAGAAAAAAAATGTTATATATGAGATTATATACTTTAGAGGTTTAATCAAAAAATTGAAGTTATTAGTTTAATGCGGTGTTGCAATGCATGAAACACATTGATTTTAATAGCTATATATATATATATATATATATATATTAG